GCAGTCGGCTCCACGCAATGCAAATTTCCCACGGCGTTGAACGCGAGCGGCCCGGCAGCCAATGATAGGCGTCGAGCATGACGACTTTCACCGGCAGCGCGCACCAAAGGCGCCGACGCATCTTCTAGAAGAATGCCACCGCCCCGGAAGAAAGTCAAGGGAATGAGCAGATTAAGCGCATGCGCATTCTGTGAGTCGCGGTGCCAGCCCAGCTCAGAATTCTCGCTAACCAGAAAACTCGTGAAGGAAAATTGTGGCCAAACATCTCGTATCAGCTCACAAAACTTGCGGACGGGCTCGGGATGATCGCGGTTCGAGCGCTTCACACCAGAAACGCCACCTTTGGTGTACATCCCAGCCGAAAAAGATTTCCGAACCTCACTCCTCAAGTCACTCTGAGGCTCATCGCCAGGCAAAGTGTCAAAAATGTTTAGCAGCTCTCGAGCTCTTGGGGAAAGGGCGAGCTCAACACTTTGAGATCCCCCGTCCCTGCCCAGCGACTCTTCGTCGCTCTCGAGCGGTTGAGAGTCCATGCGACTCCCATCCGCTGCCACTCCGGCATGCAGCAGTGGGATTTCCTTCGGAAGTCCCACCTCGAATACTTCTCCCGTCTGTCGCTCGTGCGACGCGTGTCCATCGCCCTGCGAAGGTCAGTCCATCTTGTCCTGGCCCCGTTTGGGACAGGTGTTCGCTCCATGCCCATGCGCGCCACACTTGGGGATGGCACAGGCATGCAAACCTTTCTCGCATGTATTGTTCTTCACCGGAAGGTTGCATGTGCCCAGTTGATGCCCGTAGCAGTACGGCGCCCCTTTCTTCGTAGTAGGCACACAACCCCACTGAATCAACTGCAATGGCATTCTCGGGGTGTACTGGCCCTTCTTGCCCTTGCCCTTCCCTTTAGTAGGTTCAGTCGTGTAAGGTCCCGGCCGTGGCCGAGGCGCTGAATCATCTTTCTCTCGGGTAGCAGGTGCATGCACCGGCTGCAAGAGGCAAGCGACGTCATGCATCACCGCGACTTTCTCAACGCATGCATCCACGGGCCTAGCTCCGGTCGGACCAGGTTGTATTCCTCCACGGGTGGCATCCCTAAGCTCCCGGAAAAAGGCCTTGTCAGCCGCTACGACCTGCGACCAAGGCGGCCTCACGAACCCTGGCGGGGGCTCGTCCAATCTCGCCCTTAAGAGTTTATCAGACCAGAGCTGCATGGTTGCGTACTCAGCGATGTTTGCTTGGTCCAATGCGAGCGACCGACGCTGCAAAGCCTGCATGACAAACACCTCCGACGAGGTGTTGGCCTTCTCTTCTTCCCCTTTGGACTCGATCTTCAGACGACCTGTAGCAGCATCTACTGAGAAACGTGTGTCTCGCCTCTTGTCGGTATTCAGCTCCTGCTCTCGACTGGTGCAACGCTCCCAAGCAATGTACTGCAGCTCGTTATGTTCATAACAAGAAACGCAGAGGTCTATGAGGAACTCCGACGGTTCTGTCATGCCGCGAATGGACACTCCACTGAGCTTCAGCCTCTGCTTCTCGAACCTTTCAGCCCGTTCCGGCTGGGTAAGGCGGCGTGCACTCGAATCATCGGTTTGTTCAATGCGCTGTTTCATCTCACTCGTGACTACTGCGTATGATTCATGGAAAAGTGCACGGAAGCAGGCCTTCTCGGCAACCTCCGGCTTCCGACTTAAGATGCCTTCCAACTCGGTCATTAGCGGGGACTCGTCCTGCTGGCCTGGTGCATAGCTGGAAATGAATGCCAACTGCTTTAAGTTCTTGATCTTCGCAAGCAGTTTTTCGCCATCTGCCGCAGCCAGCCCAGATCCCTTGACTCTGGCCTCGAAGACACTCGCACTCTCCGAGTAAGAAACCGCCATCCTAACACCGACCCCTCATACGAAGCACCGTCCTGCTCGCGGACAGGCCTTCACTCAACAGACCCAGCCTGCTCCGGGGCGCACTGCTTGCAGAGCGGATGCAAAAATCTGGGTCGCCCTTGCAAGAGTTTAAAAGACTCGCTTACCTTCCTCTGGCACCGGAAATGCGTACCCTCCTCGCTGTCGACAGCATGTAAGACCCTTGAAAGCTTATGACGAAA